CAGTGGAGTGTGAAGCTGTCTACTGTGGAATCCTGGTGTTTACAAGTGGCACAGCGGCATGGAGACAGGTCTTACACAGGATAACATACCCACATCTCCCAGCCAGGACCCCTGGGAAAGGTTTACAGCTTGCAGGTGGAACCCAAGTGTTTTCTTCAACCCTACTTGTGGGCAAGGTCAGGGGTGGGAGGGGCCAAGCACCAAATATGTCAGCTTCAACAACGTCCTACAGTTGTTGGGCTTTGAGACTGTAAATTACCAATAGAAATTGAAAGGGGGGCAAGCTGTACATTTTCTTTTTATTGTCTCAGGGAATGGTCTGCATAATTTTGTTAGTATAATTTGTGCTCCCGAAATTTGTGCAGTACTTATATTTGATTTACCAAGTTACGGTATCTGTATCTGTATGGCCAGTATAACTGACCTTTGGCATAACACACCAGATTTGCAGGGACGCAGGGCGGTGGCAGCTAACTACACGTATATTACACGGAACGACGTGTTACACCCAATCTTTGCACATCTAACCGCAGGAGTTGTTTTAAAGCTTTCTAGCGATGATATCCCAACTGTACTCAGTGGCAGCAAGTTCCACTCTGCGATAGTTCTTGGAGAATAAAAGTTCTTGAACACCTCAATCCATGGCTAAAATACCTTGACAAGGTCAAATAAAGAGGCACAGCTTGTATAAAGTCCACTTAAATGTCTTGCATTCCTTCTTGACACCTAGTAAAACACGGAAGAAACAGGCCTACTGGACTCTGAAAGCAGACTTAAATCCAGGCACTTCAAGAATCTCACCCTGTGACCTTCAAACAAGGGTCAGGTCCGTAGAGGTCAATTACAGCTGACTTACAGGGAGGGCAAGTACACGGAACAGACTCAGTCCAATATGATTCCATCCAAAGAATAACTGGAACCATGTGTGGAGTAGATCTACACAACAGGCTGGTAGTAGCCTCTGTTGTAGGTGTCCTATGTCAGATTGGCATTTTTGCAATCATGCAACTTGCAAATACCCTCCCCCAAAAAATGACCACGCCCAGAAGACTCAGTGCCCCCCCTCTCCCCACAAAAATGCTGACTGTGTCTGAAATGCCTGCAAAGGAGGCTATGGCTGTAGCATGAAGACAGCCCCTCTATCTGATAACATGATCCTGAGCAGTGACCAGCAATGCCAGGACAGGGCCCATGGGGTCAATTACTGCAGCACTTGGCTGTCAGTACACACGTCAGGAGTACTTTCCAGACTTGGCTTCAGACAAGTTTCTAACCAGCTCCCAACCACCATGGCACATGAAGCGGAAGTTCAAAAACCTCTGGGAGACACGTCCAAAACTTAATTGCCTACCAAACCAGCTCCTCTCCAAGTTTGGCGCAAAATAGGATTGGACAGAATATTGTTACCGGACGAACTCTGTGCTCCTTAAAGCGCCTGATTAGAGCTTGTTACACTTTATTAGTTTAGGAATCGCTGCTGGTGTGTGAGTTTGGCACAAAAGGTTGGATTTCTAGGATGACGGCCCTAGGCTCTTGGCTGGCTAATTGGCCTGTTCTGAGGTAGATTTTGCTCCTTACTAGCTTCACTAACAGCGTGATACCAGGCTGGAGCCCAGTAATTCTCATCCACTCAGTCATTACGGCAGTCATCGTAGACCGAGGTGCAGCATAGCATTTTCTTCAAGTAGCTACTTTAAGCTAAATTTAGTCTTTTTTTTTCTGCTTTCCCCATTTTGGAGTTTGCTGTCAACTGAAATGAACTCTCAAGTTGAAAAAAAAGAAAGAAATGAGATGTGGCAGCATATTTTGAACCAATCCTGTACAAAATATGTTTGCTGACTGCAGCTGACTTCTGAGGTCTAAATCGATTCAATATCTCTTTAGACATTCAACTTTATGCTTCAACAAATGCAGTGAGCAACTGGCAAAGAAGGGAAACAAGTCAGTATTTTTCCTTGGTGTATCACTTCAATGAAACTTAAAATATAGTAAACCATTGTATGTTAATGTTGCTAAAAGTAAAAGTATATATACTGTTATAATTACTGCTATCAACTGTGTCCCTAAAAGGCAGAATCCATTTCCTGCCATCGTTGTTCACTTTAACCCCACTCCCAAACACAAACCACTAAAGTTTTGAGTGAAGTGTTGAATGTCCATGGATGCCCCCAGCCTATTACAAGTCTCTTGAATCCTAAATGCCCATCACATGGTTGCTTCGTGCCAAAAGCCTACCGAGGCTTTACACGGCAAATTACGCAAAGAATGCAACCATGGCCCTCGCCGGAGAAATCAGAGTCAAGATTGCTGGACCTAATGTGCCCTCTGCCTATTAGAAGACTTTCCCAGGAATCATTTGGAGTCGGTAACAATGCATCAATGGGAGGAATGTGGATTGCGAGGGCAGCCCCTGCCAGCAGATCTGCCATTAAAGTTTGGATGGTACTGAGGGAATGCTCCAGAGATACCATTGTTCAACCCAGAGAGCACCTTTCTACAATTTGCTGTGTGTGGAGCCCGGGGCAGGGCAGGACACTGGAATGACTCCAAACTTTCCTGAGGTAGTTTTTGCTGCAGATAATAATTCAAAAGCCATAGGTAGAACACAGAGTTGCTGCAGAATTTTGGTTCAACGACCAGCCTGGTGGGGTTATGTGGTGTAATGGCGGATCATTTGGCTCAGAACCAAGAGGTCCCGGGTTCGAATCCTGCCATGTCACCGAACCTGCAGGTGAAAATTAGTATGCCAGAATGATCATTTAATCATTATCGTGGGCATTAAAGGAAGAAGAAGTCTTTTGTATATAAAGACAGAATTCACTTGTACATACTGCATATAAATGGAACCATGCCTTCTCTATACACCGTATTACCAAGGTCAAGGAGAACTAACCATCCTGTATAGTTAACGGTAGCAGCAATTGGGTAGCTATAGAGAGATTGGTGAAAACTCCATGACCAAACGATATCAGAGGAATATTGTGCATTCTGTGATACATGCCGAGGATGATTGTCATTATCAGTCTGCCACAGACCCACACATTGAACTGGAATACTCACAGAATATATCTATGTTATCATTCTTCTTGTCAGTTAATGTTTCTTGAGTTTGCCCTCCAGAAGATAGATTGTTAGGTCACAAGGATAGAAACTTGATCAAGTATCTACAATCAAGAGCTATGGGGTAGGTTCTGGTAGGCCTGGTTCTACTATAAATGGCTTTTCATCTTGCCAAGGCAATTTAGGTCAATGCAAGGGAGAATAAAGTGGTCAATGTACATTTCCCTGGGAGAGGCATGTTCCCACAGGATGTCCATTTGTCAAACTCTTTCTTGGTCATAGTTTTAGAACTGGCTGCACTGTGACATCTGTTTGGCCAGGTTCCTCAAAAGGTCATGTCTAGAGAGGGGGGTGCTGGGTTTAAAGTAGACCAGTCCTGCTGCTAAGGCCATGTTGATTTGATTATATGGATGACATCAGCACGTGCATGAATTTTCGTCTACTGAAGAAGACCAGAGTCACTGGTTGAAAGCTCTAGGAGAGAACATTTCTCTTTTGTATTGGAACTTAAGTTTTTTCCTTTAAACAACTACATGTAGCTACCAACACAGATGAACTTTCATGACAACTGAATTTTTTTGTTTGTCTCCAAAAAAAAAGGTTTCAACCATACTGTACATCGTGAAAAGCTGCTGCAATATGAGCAAATATACAAAAGTGTATGTCGTGAATCCAAAAAAAAAAAAGAAAAGAAATGAAAATGACAGTGAGTGAGTGAGTGAGTGAGTCCCCATCCCTATTGTCGAATAATGCCAAAATCAATTCCAGAGAAAAGGAAGAATTTGCCATATCATACCCTGTGTGTTTAGTCCTTTGTTCAACCTTCACACCACACAGATTTCATGATGAAGTCAACCTTTTTTTTTTTTTGCCAAACTTTTTTTTTAAATTTTCAAGCTTGCATCAGTTTTGGGGTTCCTAGAGGATGTCATCCATTTAATCACATCAACGTGGCCTAAAAGTGGCAGGTATTATTTTCCAATGGCAAAGGGTATGGATGAAAGCATTAGTGAGGTATTACCTGGAGACACAGAGGGCAAAAATCTGGCCCCATCCCTGCATTACTACTACACTTTACCATTAGGCCCGGTAACCTCTGACATAGCCAGGTATTTGTCTTGGTTCAGAGAGAAACATGTACATGTTCTGTGCATTCTCATGAAGAAACAGAAACATGTACACCAAAGTACTGGTGCTGGTCATCAACATCCCCTGTCTTCAGAGAGAAAACAAAAAGATGTTAATCAATGATGTTGTCAGAAGTAAGGTACAGAAATCAATTCTCCAGCACTATGTGAACTGTAGTCCCAACTACATTGTAAGTCTAGTAGTTAACATTGACTGTGTGCACTGCAGAAGTGTACAGATTGTTTGAGAACTGATTTCAATCATTTTTTTCTATTGATGTTACAGTCAAACCTGTACAAGTGACCACTTCTACATAAGGACTACCTGACCAATGTGACCACACTAGCATAATTTTCCCCATTGACACAAGCATTGTTTCAGAATCCTGTCTATACTGTGACCACCTGTCCATAGACCAGGTTGTATCAGTCCCTTGAGTGGTCTTCTTGTGCAGGTTTGACTGTACTGCCAATGCCAACAGACACTGATCGCTATTAATATTTGTTTGGACATAAAACAGTATACTAACAGACAATACAATCTGTGTGTAAACATATGAACCATACTACACCCAATATTTAAAATCATGCAATTTACACATGGAGACTGTTGACAAGTACCAGAAGTAGTTTATTTATTCAAGGCAACCAAAACCATCTGTACTCAGTCTGAATTGCCTATGTAACATCCTGTAGGCATTTTGATAACATACTGGGACAACTGAAATTAATAGATACATGCATTATCCTCTGGAGTACGGCAGTGGGGTTGCTAGGTGAGTTGCCATGGTGATGGTCACCATGGTTACTGACCTGTGTAGCCTTGTTGACCATCTGCGGCCCGTACATGTAGTGGTGAGGGATGTCATGTGGCCAGATGCCCTTCAGGTAGGACCCGACAGCGATGGTGTCCAGGGAGGATGTCCGGCGGATGGAAGGGGAGGGGCTGGTCCGAGGAGGCTTCGTTCCTACCAGAAAAAAGATGTGTTATTCATGCACAACTTAAAAAAAGGGAATATTTTCCACAATAAGTTTTCAAGTGGTTGATAAAGCAGCATTTTCTAATCCATTAGAGCGAAGTAAGAGTCTATATGAATCAACATGTCATGCTCAAACCAAAACAACCTCCATCCATCCATTGATTCATTTTTTCGACAAATTCTCGATTTCACATCTGCATTCAGAACGACTGTTGGCTGACAACATCTGAGCAGATTTGACCCCTTTTACAACGTTTTATCCCCAAAATCTCACATACTGCACACGTATGATCATAACTCACAACTTCTTTCCTTTTCCATCCTCCTCCTTTAAACCATAAACCAAGAGCACATACCCTACTACTTCAAAAAAACAATCTTGTATTTCTTTCATCTCATTGCCCCTGCAGGGTTTCTCTTATCAAGGTAATCCATTCTAGAGCATATCTCTGCCACTGGGATGCTATTATCCTTCTTCTTCAAGTAAACATGAACAGATGGTTCTGCCACACAAAAGAGCTGGGAGATCACTCTTGCCTGCACATGTTACAGCAGATTACAGCTTTTTATGTTGTTTTCTGAACAAGGATGTTTTATTGGCTGCCGTTAAGGACGAGCACTCGGCGGCCATTAGAACGGGGAAAATTACAGACAAGATGATGGTTCAGGGGGGAAATCTTGGAGACAAAGTATGCTTCTGTTGGACTAATTTTTCACAGAGGTTTACATTACATTACTGACGAACAGAACAAGGGATACATATCCTGTGCTACTATTAATAATAGCCTTAAATAAAGAAAATACAAACATCTTAAAATGAGACTCCTTCTTTTTAAGCTTTGTATACAGGGCTATGTCCACTTGACAGTGCACAATATACTTATCCAAATGGAGAAAAAAACCAAGACCGCATGTGATGTTTTGGGCAGATAACATCTCAACTTCGACATTTTCCCTGAAAAACTACAGTTAGAAAAGGTCATGACTACAACGGGGTTTGACCTGGCGTATATTTCAGCCCTGCTCTTTCCAATGTCAAGTGTACACAGACCTCCATCTGTCCCTACCTAACACATAGAAAAGGGCACAGCAGTTATGCCACAACAACAACCTTCATATAACACTGTTATCTGCACACGGCAGCTGCACAAATGTTACAAGATCGCACGAAGCTTACTGAAGATTTGAGAAACAAGGTTCCGAATTCTGGACCCGGCTTTATCTTTGGTACTGTGTGTACACGAGCTTCCCTATTGTCATGGAGATAGGGTAAGGGCCAAGTGGTGCCCCGTGTGATCCTGGGTTGTTCAACAGATGTGGCGGTGGGAAGTTGGCAGACACATCGTGGTCTAATGTTGCACTAGGGTGTTTACACTACAGGGTAACAATGGTGGATATGGTAAGTTACTAGGACTACCCCAAAAGTCAGGTCAAACTCTGTGGTTCATCAGGATGGCTTTCCTCACACAGACACATGAGGTCATGCCACTGGCAGAAGGCACACAGACATTCTAGACTTTAGTTTGTCTGTTCTCTGGTAGATGACTACAAGATGTCACAAAGACAGTTTTGTGGGCTGGAGTGGTGTGTAGTGGATGGACCCTCAAGAATACAGTTTTGATATGCATAAACAGTATTAATGTAACACATATATGAATGTTTAAACTTTTGTTCCAACACAAGAGAAATTGAGCTTTCAACTATTAACTCTAGTCTTCCTCAGTAGACAGAGTTACTGGTTAAAAGCTCTAGGTGACAACAATTTCTCTTGTGCTGGAACAAAAGTGTTATAATTCTAAACATGTAACTACCGACACAGATGAACTTTCATCCACTTCCATCTGTAATACCATTTCAATCAAAACATATTTCTGCCTCCTCTACATGTATGTTCAATAATTATTTGTTTGAATTTCATACTAGTATTTCAATTTGATATTCTAAGCCTTAACTCTGAAAAAAGAGTGACTTGAACAAGTCACCAGCTCACAGTCAATCTGTATCTCACATCACAACTAGATTAGAACTTGATGAAATTTTGTCATACAAACACTGTACAATCCTTATTCTACATCATCAATGCAATTAACCTATAAATCTGATATATCAGTAGTAACATTGTTACGACTGCGATAGTCATCAAATTAGAGAGACAATTTTCATCTGGAACACAAAGAAGCTTCCATTTCACCCAGAGGTACATAAAGTCAACAACTCGAGTGAAATATCACAAATGTTCAAATGTTTGTGTGGCATTTCCAAAATGTAGAGCTTCTCGATCTTGATCTTCTTCCTCATAAGGACATCACGATTTCATAATTTGGTTTAGGTACCAAAACAAGCTGGCACAGTGAACGTGATCACAGATAGATTTGCTATATCAAAGCAGCCCAGAAGTGAATAAATGCATGTATCCAAGTGGCGCCACCCAAATTCACAATCAATACAGTCCAGCTCAAGCATGAAATGGGATCTGCGAGCCAGGATTTCCCCCGAAAATCTCTTGATCTAACAGATTTGTTCAGCCCAATACAAAGATTACTGCATTCTGCTGCTGTAATTTTCCAGAGAAATGTCACTTGGGATTTACACTATCGACCATCTGCCTTTTTCATCCTCGTTATTGTAACAATGAGTAAAGTCTCTTCATCTTAGTACCAGTGTGATAAATAAGGGATGGCACAAATAAGCCCCAGGCGGAATAGATCAGAGTCTTCCCATATAACAAAAGCAAAATAAGTCAAATGCGGCATTCGCGATGTGAAATATTGTTGCAATTATTAGCAAGTGGCCAAGGTGTACATAAAGTGACTGAACATGTACAAAAGGAGCAATTATTTCATTAATTATTGATATTGATAATTTTGTCCATCAATCTCTCTTGCAAAAACAAGGCTGCAGAATAGTTTGAAAGGCAGTTGACTTTTATAACCAGTACTGTTGTTTGACCACCTCAAACTTGAAAGTTACTGCAATTTTTTTTTTACAATTTGAAATAATTCTATTGTAACAATAACTGTCAATTACTGATATTAGGAAGTAAAGAAAAAATATTTTTCAATTTCCACAAAAGATATATAATATACCCACAGGATAGTGAGTGAGTGTGATGTAATTATGCAACAACCGATCTGAAACGAAGACACATGCATCCTTACTCCCCTGCACTGCAAAGATCAATATGAATTGATAGGGAAAGCATTTGGGACTGTATGACAAAACATTCCCATTTTCACTGGAGTACAAGTCATTTTTCAGTAGCTCTGAACCAACTGTCTTGAGAAATAGTTGGCAGTGGAAAGACTCCCTGAGTTGTCCGGTCGCCGACACTGAAATCAATGCAGCTTATCAAACTGGCCTGATTGGTCCTGGTTGATGTCTAATGGTCGGTTCTTCTTTCATTAGACGGACACCGCTATGGGATGCCTATTTCTGGTGATCGAGCAGGTACTTATACAAGTAGCTCGGGCTGATGCAGCAAACATCATGGAATAACGAGACTCTTTTTATAGAACCAAATTTATTCTGAGTCAACATATCGGTGACCGTGAGGAAGGTGACAGTCACCGAACTGTCGGCTGAATAAAACACTTGGTTGTGTAAAACTAAAAAGGACTTATCTTTATCCTGTCAGCAACTGAAAAATTACTTCTACTCGGGTGAAAATGGGAATGTTTCGTCAGCCTTTAAATTTCAAAACCAGTGTTCTAGCCAGCATCCGTCTTTCTGCCATTTGATGCAATTTTGCACAATCCGTCATCTTTGAAGGACAAAAATCAGGGGCGTGTAAAGATATGGAAAGACATGTCATTAAGTTAAGCTGTTGTTACATGTTATGTCGAACAAAATTGAGATGACAGAAAAAATCTTCAGGCTGGTTAGAACACTGTTCAAATCACTGACTGATTTGAGACACAGCTGAGCTGCAATTTACTTTAAAGTACATTTTGTTGTAATCTTGGTTGCTCTTGCTCACTGACCGAGAGTTCACCGTGTAAAACAGAACTTTCATGTTACACAAGATTGATTATGAGTGTTATTAGTATTTTCAGTGCTGTAAGTCTATAAAAAATGCTCCCAGGGCAATCTCTTTCTCACTTCACTGGTAGTTTGTCCTCTATCTGATGGCGGTTATATGGATGTCTACAAAGTTTGCCGGCGCCACATAGCAATACAAAACTACATTGTACATGAATCCGACAATAGTGCATGAAATGAACTGACTGATATTACACCACCTGATACCCCACAACTTCTGCTCTTAGGGGATATAAAATAGTATAAAAAAGATAAATCATACATTCAATCAGAACATATTCTCCCAGGCAACCAAATGCCTGTAAAATTACTTGTATGGAACCGTAGGGCAAAACATGTGCTGCTTTAACAAGTTTCAGAGATATATTCGTACATCGTAAACCAAAGACAGTAGGAGCTACTCATAACAGTTCAATTAAAGTTGAAGGACAATGTAGTTAGACTGCAAGGTAGATCTGTAGAAAAAAGCTGCTTTGGTTTTAATGGCTCAACATAGTACAGTGCTTTTAATGAATTTTATTGGACGGGAGGGGGGGTCCTTTAAAATGTGATATCTACACCAGGGCTCTAGCCAGCTCAAATTTTTGGGGTCCGGGGGCAAATTTTAGATTTTAAAGCCTTTAAATTATAAACGAAATTTCCTACATTTTGAAAGGCAAATCATGGGGTTGAAAGTGGTTGTTGGTTGTCCTTCGAATGTTTTTATATCTTTTTGCCAATTTTGTCCATCAAGGTTGACGGATTGGTTTTAAAAATTTTGGCACACGCCACAAAGTTCCTGTAATTGACAGAAAAACCGGCACTTCCTCGCACCCTAGTCTACTCCTTGGTGAATCACACTGACTGATATAGGGTATTTCACTAATCCTTTAGAAAAGCTTGTGTATCAGATTGATGACTTCTTCACATTTTCATTTCCTCGGCCAATTAAAGCAGCATGCATCTGGGAT